CTAGAAAGGCACATACTCCAGTAAAAACCAAACCCATTGTAAAATTCAGGTTATTAGGAACACTTTCATGGCTTATGGTTTTCAAAAGGAGATTTTTTTTCGTTCACTTCAAAGATGGTTAACAACAAACTTGCAAAGAGGTCTGAACTTCCCCTGAACTAACATATATGTCAGTCTCTTCAAGCAGGATGAAAACATGCAGAATAGTGATCATTCTTTAATGTAAGTCTGGTTTAACACATTTCTTCCTACTACTTCCACTACTTTTTTCTAGTCCTTTGCCATTGCTCTGTACTGTCCCCATCACTCTCTAATTTAATTGGCTAAATTATGAGCACAGTATTACCTGGGTTGCTGAAATTATCAAGGTTACTAAGCTACAAGTGAATGAGTCAGCAACAAATGACTCATTCAGACCTAAGACTGGCCTTCTGAGGGCAAAGGACAATAAGTTTCACAGACAGGTTTATCATTAGAGAAAGTGTCTAGGGTGACTTTCCAGCTGACAGTGAGCTGATCAAGGTGCTGCATTCCTGATTAGTAGAAGTCTCACTTTTCTCAAATCTCTTTCTTATTCACAGTGTAAAGGTCTATTGCCTACCCTGATGCCAACTGGATTGCTCTACAGCTCCCTTAACTCACTGTGCTGGCAGAGAAAAGCTGCAGCAGTTTCGGAATCAATGAGTTAAAGAGGCACACAAACTATGTGTACTGACAAGATACAGAGAATGAAAGAGGGTTAAGGAAAAGAACAGAGGGAAGGAATAACCATGAGATCTGAGATTTAGTTAAACTAATGAATCATGCCCTAACAAGGCTTTGTCAAAACTACTGTGAGGGTTTTAATTAAATTAATGCAAATCAATCTTCTGAACAGGTCCTGGAACTTCTGTTTTATATCTTGTTCCAAAACTTAGAATAAAAAAAAAAAATCAGCACTTTAAATTCTTTAAATTAGTATGAAACCATTTCAAAGGAAAGGAACAGCAATTCCAGACTGAGTCTGAACTATATAATTAAGAATTATATCACAAAAGCCAAATCTTAAGGCAAAGCATAAACCTAAGTACTGTAAACAGAAAATTACTGTAATCCAGTTACCTTGTTATATTTTTGCCGTTTTACAGAATCTAGCTTTCTGTTAATATTTTTGTTGTCAGCAGCTTGAGGTGAAAGTTCCTCAATAATTTTATTTATATGTCTCAGAGATGTTGTACATGATCTGCAAAAATAGTAAGATTGCAATGAACTGGTAAAGTCTAGAAAGAAAAACAGCACATTCTCAATTCAGACATTTTAAAAACTCCAGAAGATTTAATATAAGACTTAAAAAGGTCTAAAGGTAAGGTTCTGAATAAGCATAATGTAGTTAAACAACACTGGAAATACTAAACACTTGAAAAAGTTGTATATCATAAAATATTTTTAAACTGAACTTTGTTAATAGTAAGATTCCAGAAGAACGTAAACTGAACAACCACTGTAGTATTTAGTACTCAAAAGTTACAAGTCTGACGAAGACAAGCAAGAGTGGTTGTTTTCATTATTCAAGGTAAACAAAACACAAGCCAAAAATCTAAATGAGAAACACCATGTTTTCATTTTCTAAAATGGTTTTAATAGTTTGATGCCATTATATAAGGAAACCTGTATTTTTTACCTTTTATGCAAAAAGCAGATGGCAAGACAAAGGTGCAATTTTACAGGACAGACTAGTTCAAAGAATTAAGAGCACATCAACATTAAACTTCTTTTACTCATGCACTACCATTTTTCATGTTTCCATATAAAATGTGAAACTCAAGTAGAACTACATGCTACAACCTAATCTTTCTGTGGTTGAATTCATTTGCAAGGAAGAAGGAACTGCCACACCATCAAAAGCAACAAACCTAGGTTTGTTAATTCATATATCAGAATATTTCATAAGGATACACAAATTAGAATCCCAAAGCATTATGAAAAAAGTCGAAGACAACTGCTCACAATACCTGCAAAACAGTCATTATTCCCCCTGTATGCAAAGAAAAGCACTAAGGAAGGCTCCTCCATTGCCAGGGAGGAGATTTTTGGGCCACATTTACTTCCAGCTCTAATCTGAATTCTACCAGTTATCCTTCCTAGGAGATATATTCTACCAGCTCCCCAGCAATCACTGCCATCCTCACTTCTTCATACTCTTTTAACATTTTTGAACCATCCCCTTTCTTTCTCACTCTCCAGTTGTGATGCTTTGCTGTACACCATCCTCCTGCATCGACCTCCTAATTTTGGCTCTTGCTTCCTTGGCCCTGGAGTCTCTTGATGCTCTCTCCTTCCACAAAACTTTAATTAACAGGACTTTGAAATTTAAACAGGATTTAACTTCAAACATTTTCATTCTTCTTTTTCTGCTTCAATTTGTGTGCATATTATAAAATCATGCAGCTTCTACCATGAACTCCGTGCCAACTACTCAAAAAACATTTCGTGCCTGATTTTTTCTCTAGTTCACTAAGCTTCAGGATTTTAAGCAATTCGATCATCCATTACTCATGTCTGAGTTTTGTTAGTCCTTCTGCTCAAAGTCAGCTACATCTGTTAATTTTCTCAAAAAATCAACTTTCAGATTCTCACATTACATCTTATGCAGACAAGATTCTGCATATCTGCATAAACCATTTGCATTCCCTCATGTAAATCTTGTTTTACGACTTGAAGTGAGAGGTGAAAAGAGCGGGATAAGAAAAATCATAGGATACTTCTGAAAGAAAAACGGGAAAACATAAACTAATTAATGGTGCTGTGCACCACTCTTTCAATAACCACATACTCTCATTGTAATGGTTATGCTGCTCCATTCATTCTCTCGATACCACCTTACTCATTATGTTCTTCTGTTCCACATCACCTGAAATTAGATTTCAGTGTTGCAAACTTATTTAATTTCACATCTCCACACCCAAACTGGAAAATTATAACTGAGACCTACAGCACTAAAAAAACACCGTTAGTGCAAGGGTGATGCAGTGAAACATACACAGAATAATTTACCTGCAATAGTTCACAGAGTAACTCATACAATGAGACTGAAAACAAAAAGGGAGATCAACATTTGAAAGGTTACTGGCTCCTATTCCTCAAAGTCTTCTAGTGTCAATAGTATCAATGTTAAGCATTTGATTTTTTTAAGGTATAATTAAGAAGTTCTTACAAACACTTGTGAGAAGGCTGTTTTGGCTGTAGGACATTCATGAGATGGAGTCATCCAAGTTATTGAAGGAACATAACTTGAAGCGGATGACCCCACAAAACATACAGAATTGAGGAAGTGACACTTTTTCTGACTGTAACTTTGAATAACAGAGTAATTCTCCACTGCCCAGAAAATAGATGCATCTTGGTGAGGTAGGAGACAAAGCAGAAAAAGGAGGTGCACTCTACCCTGCTGCCTTGACACGACTAGTCAAATAAGAGCAATGAAGCATAGTCTGATGTGAAAAATATTTTCTTCATTTTTAAAAAGTGACTCCAAAGAGTATGTGTACTCAAGCACTTTCAAAACATCTTTTCCTCTTTAAGATTTTAAAAACATGAGATACCAAGTCCCATTAGATCATCAGTAGCAGAAGGGAACAGTAAGAAGACACACAATTTACCTTAAATCCTCCAGTACTGACTCATACTCTTTTGATGCATTAGCTATTTTTGCTGCTTTATTTGCTTCATTAATTGCATTATCTACTTGCTGAAGAACTCCTTGCTCCAACACATCCTGGTCGTAGACATCAACTCCTAAATCTTTGAGCTCAGCAGCATGTGCACTACATGAGACAGACTGAATCTGCTGCCTGTTGATCTGTAAAAGGGGATGTCCTCTTCTGGGCACCTCCAAAGGAACAGCCATGGAAGTGGAAGCCTGGCAGTCAGAGCTGGGAATTCCGATACTATTACCCACACCATTGTCACAAATGCCATTTTCCTGTTCAGTTCCCAAGTCCTCATCGTTATGCAGGCAGTCATTGCTTGAAGTAGTGGTAGACTCTTGCTCTTGGATACTTTCTGGCAGGTGACTCTTGTGTGTTGGCATCCTCTGCTCAAAAGCAACAAAGAAGAAGCACATTATCATAAGGACATCCACACATAAAAAGCTCCTTATGAATCCTGTGCCCTCTCCAAAAAATGTAAGCAAACCAGTAAGCATGTTTATGATAGATTCTTGTGTCAAAACATCTAGTAGTCTACTTCTTCATCATGCAGATAGAGATGCATGCATCTACATGCAGAGACAGCTCCACACCAACTCCCACAATCAAAAGAGTAGCCAAAACCTCTCAGAGACAACTATGTTTAACCATCCTGGAAGACGTTGATATGAATACGAACAGGACAACGTGTAAAAATTACTCTCCTTGCCAGACAGTGAACTCAGTCTTCTGTGTAAATGGTCATGCTCCAGAAGACCGTGACATAACAAAAACTTATGCAATTTAACGTACCCAAACACCAAAAATACAACTTTTGGAAACAGGTTAAGACTTGCCATCGAAAGCACCAATGAGTGCAGTTGGCTTTAGTTTGACAATTCAGCTTTGAAGTGGAGCATAAAACACCTCAGTTCTCAGGAAATTAATGCTGGGCTGACTTACTAAGGCAAGGCTGGAGCTGGTATAGTTCAGCAACATTTCCCAGCACGGCAGCCCGTGGGTCTCAGCCCCACCACACGGTTTTCTCCCACACGCTCGGAACACGCCCGCACAGGGGATGCATTCAGGCCCTGCATCCAGGCAGCGGGTACCACACCGCCCGCTCCCAGGAACCTCCGGCCCCTTGTCCCACCTGCACCAAGCCTGCCCGGGCACAAGTGGCGCTTCACCCACCTCTGTGTGCGAGCGAGCGCGGCGCTGGGAGCGGCGGCTCCCGCCGGGCTGTGTCCGAGCCTTGGCCCCGCAGCACAGCGGGAGTGGCACCACCGGGCCGGGCCGGGGCCGGGCAGGGCCAGGCCGGGCAGGGNACGGGGCCCGGCTGAGCCCGGCCCGGCCGCTGCCTCCTCCAGTGCCCCTGTACCCCTTCTCGTGAAACTCCGCATCCAGCTCCCCCTCCTCGGGGCAGCAGAACTGAGTGTACGTGCTGGCAGCCTCGGTCCAACTGTGAGAGGATAAATACATAGCAGAACACATAGATATTAATAATTCCCAAAAGCGTTGCTGGCTTTTCTCCTACTGAACTACGATTTCAGGTCCTTGACTGAAGATTTTGCTTCTTTTCAGTTACCTTATGCCTGCCTTGTAATGTCTACGAGTCTCAGGGAAACTGAATGGGTTCTGTAATACCTTTAAGACCTGGACCTGGAAGCTCATCAAGCAAATAAAGCTGTGCTATGTTGATAAACTCTTGTTTGTTTCTTTGCTCTGAAGTACACTATTACTGCAAATATCCTTTAGTATTTAGTGCCTACAATGAGAAGGCTTTTTAAAATCTTCATTTTTATTTGAATCTTCATGTTTTAAGTAGAAGGAATTTTTTAACTGCTGAAACAATTTAAAATGTGAAGTGCAAAGTCTTTCAGCAGACTGAGAAAGGCAGCAACCAGGGACATTTAAGGACACAGCAATGTCAAGCTGTTGTCAAAACTAAACTATGGCATGGAAGGGTAGGCTCAATTTTCCATAAACTGATTAAAAAAGGTCAAAAGATGAGTTGTCCTGGAAAGAGAAAAAAGGGATTTGTATTTTTAGCTAGGAGAGAAGTTTTCAAATGACAGGCTGCTTCTTTCCTAAAGCACAGGAGGAAACTGAAGATTTTCCTACATGTTAGCATGTTAGCAGACTTCTGTCGGTTAAGACATCACTAATGTCAGATATGGACACTAGTAAGAAGGAAGAAGGGCTATAATCCAGCATTAAATATTATTGCATCAAAGCAGGTACTTGCAATATAAAACAGTTATGTTGTATCCTGACTGTGACTCCAAGGATCCCAGGTGGAGCTTGCTGAAAATCTGTATGGCTTCATGGAAGCCAGAGCAGGGAGAGATCCCACAGGCCTTTAAAGCTTGTCCTGTGGTGGTCTATCCTTGGTGCATTTGCAACTCTAGACCTTTTTTAACTTTTCAACCTCGACACACAGTTTTACCTAAGCAGGGGAGATCTATCTTTTCCCTCTCAGCCTCACCTATTGCCTGGAAAAGTCCATTACAAAGGCTGTAAAAGTACAAAATCTGTATTATAAGCTGGAATGTCTTTGAAGTTATATTTTCAGTGCAGTCATTTTCACATACAAAGTTAACTTCTAATGGACCAAAAATTCAGTTCTGATTTTGGTTACATACCCATATAGATTCTGATATTTTCACATAGCATGTATGCATGTGTGCTTTTGCTAAGTATTTAATTGCATTTAAGTTCAGTTTGTTTTTCTTTTATTTTTTAATTTTTCTACATGTAGCTAACTGCTTGCTGCAGGGCAGCTACTAAACCACTGGCAGTGTGGTTTCATGGGAAGGACAAGTTTTTTGGTTTTGGTTTTTTTTTTGTTTGGTTGGTTTTTTGTTTTTGTTTTTTTATGTTGTAACATAGCCACAGTCTTCAACCCCCCTGTATGCAAGCATTAGTGATGACAACTGTTACTGGAGCTGGTTCTGGCAAGTTTTGAGATGCAGATATGCTCTTGAACTAGCAAGACTGAGAAATTAAACTGTGTGTCTTCCCTTACGATCAGCCTTGTGGGGTTTCTGGGAAGGATCCTGGCAGATCTTGTGAGGCAGTAGCTCAGAGCTCAGCTGGTCTAGAGGGATGTGAAAGAACTCAGACTCTCAAGGAAGCTCAAATAGAACGACAACTTGGAAAGGAAGCAATTTTGTTTCTGTGACTCTGATTTGGGTAATGAAAAATTAGGTTCTGTAAATTATGGTCAGTGATAAGGGGCAAAGGGGCAGTGATTTAATTTTTAATCCATATTTTTTTCAGTCTCCTGCTCTAAAGTTATCCCTATAACTATGATAAACACATCCTGGGATGATAAACACATACACTGGGATGCACCCAGTATAACCAGTAAGAACCTACCTTGTCTAAATGCTGGCTCTTAGCAGCAGATGAGCCTTCGTGCTTGATAGCCTGGTTGTGCTGTTAAGGGTGTGACCTCTGGCTGTTGGCCAAATCTTCATTCTTGCTTTTCAAGTAGGCTTTTACTCCACAGATTTTGGTACTTATTATTGGGACAGAATATATTTATGGATTTTGTTCTGAGGAAATGCTGTATGTGGACTATGACTGATCCTATGGATGCATACAGAAAGGCTTGGACTGACTGACTAAGAAAAAACTAATTCAAACCAGTACATTTTCAGAGTTAAGTGGCCACAGGATTTGAGCATCTTTGAACTTTCATTTACATGCATTAAGGTGACCTGAGATGTCTGAGCCTCAGGCATGTGACTGCCACTTTGTGGAGCAGTCCCAGTGGATGCAGTGCTTTGCTAAATATTTAAAGACGCTCCTTTGTCCCAAAGTGCTTAGGCCTAAGATTTTCATTTATTCATAGAGCTTAAGCCCAGACAGGAACATTAGATCATTCTTTCTGACCTCCTGTGTGACAATAAAAATACTCACTCAGTAGCTTCTACATCAGGCATGAGTCTTGGAGATGAGGTGGCACAGATGGCTTGGCAGGATATCACATTTTGATTTAAATGCACTGAACAGTAGAAAATCCACTACATGACTTGGTAGATTGTTCCAGAGGCTGATCCTTCTAGCTCTCTTTCACGTAGCCTGAAACACACTAGCTTTAAAAATGTCATGTGATTAAAACAGAGGCTGTTAAACACAGAAGCAGAAAACACTTCAATAGAATTTTAGACCAATCCACAACTTTGTAAAATCTTGAGGCTGAATTTCAGAAGAATAATTTTTCCCTTACCTGATTAGAGTTCTGAAATGGGATGGACACCAGACGTTTCACCTAAAACTTCTCTAAACAGTTATGTGCTTCCCTGTGCTATAGCTGTTCCTAGAAATACTGCTTTTGTGGCTGAGCTGTTCAGCTGGCTACATTCGTCCTGTCTGATACCAACTTAAAAGCCAAAAATCCCCACACTATTCTAGAGGGGTCAGTTAGTCAGGTATGGAGTGTCCTAGTGCCCACAGGCAGTGCTGTTCTGCTGAAAAACATGGCAGTAGCAGATTTTTATGCATATCAGTTTAGCTTCTCTATTTTTCAGTCCTTTCCTGATGAAGTATCAACTGTGGGTCTGAGCCAACACCCTAGGAGATTTCTGTGCTGGTGGTGAAAATGCTATACACTGAGGCACACCGATACTTTTAAAACAAAATGCCAAAACTGTGAAGTTGTGATGAGAATAGATAATAAATGATTTAAGGGCTGCATTACTTCTCAGGAGGGCATAGAATTGCCGGCAGCATTGGCAGAAATGGGAATTCCATCCATGATAATAAAGCATCTGTATCTCTTTGTACCAATGAGTTGAGTGGCAAGTATCTCTCAGAGCCATGGCAGTGTAATAAAGCTAATATATCAACCTAAGAGAGATGCTAAGCTCTTTGAAAATAATTGTGTAGTTGGCAAGCAATAACTGTTACTCTTTATATTGCAGAGAAATAAAATTGTTTGGGTTTTTTTTCCCCTCACTCTCCCTGCTGTGGTGCATTTAAGAAATTAAATGCAGAAATCTACTCCTAATGTACTACTAGGTTGGAAAACTAATGACTGCAAATGGGAACAAATTCCAGAAGTGAAGGTTTCTCCCACTGCTTTTCTGTGGTTAGATTGCTCATCTTTTGTATTTCCAACAAATATTGCTAGACAACAGCTCACACATAAGGAAGTTCTTGATAATGCCATTTTTTTAGCAAAGCTCCATGTTTGTGGTTATTTGGGCTGTATTTTTCTCCAAAGGTATTAAAAAGTGATTTTCTAGGCAAATCTGCTGCAGCTTGTTAGAGGCCTTTTCCTGAGCTTGTAGCCAGATCATTGTTTTTACGTGTGTCTTTGCTACATATCTTTCATAGGTGTGTGTGCACAAGGTTTTTAAGGCCCTGTAGAAAAAGGAGAAAAAAATATAGAAGCTTTAAGAACTGAGTAAGCGTGTAATAGGCTCTTGGCATCAATCTTAGGCAGGCAGAGAGGGAAGACAAACCTGGGTGTTTATTGTCTTTTCAGACCAGCCTTTCACATTTTGCATACTTTAGAGATGTTCACTGACAAGCTTAGGGCAAAGCTCTGGCTCTCACATCCCAGAACCAGGATCTTCTGCTGTCCTACCCAGGCAACCAAAGGCTGCTGCTTTTCACCTGCTCTTGACTTGTGTAGGTCTCCTTGCAATGACTGCTAGCACCTGTGATGATCCCTAGAGCTGGCAGAGTCCTGCTCGGGCTGTGTTTGAACTGTCGGTGGTGCCAGGAAGAGAAGCATAATAAATATTTGAGTACTTGAAAATCTCTCACCTCCTCAAAAACTGGGCTGTCTGAGACCGGTGGTGGCCACCTGCCGGCTTTAACACTAGAGGGAGGCATCGCCTAAAAGAAATCACGAATGCTTCCAAAATAGCACAATTTAAAACTATTTATATGTCTTGGAAGGGAACTAAACACTGATTTCTTCTTAAAGCCTCTGTTTTTATTGGAATATATTATGGGAGGCCTCATTTGCTGCTGAGAACGCTCTTGGCCAGAGTGAAATCCAACCCTCCTGATGAGGTAGGCAGATCCAGCCTGCGCTGCTCTGCTTTGTCTTAGCTGGGCTCTCCTGGGACAACACTTTGCTTCAGGCCTGGAGGTAGTACAGCCTCTATAAATAGCCCATTGCTGAATTGTTGTGTGACCAGATTTTGAAGGAGGTGCAAATGGATAAAGAATTGTGTTGTTTTATTTCAGACTGACACACTCAAACCGATTTTGCTGTCTTGGCCTCAGTTTGTACTCGGGGCAGAGGTCAGGAAGATGAAATGTCAGTTCTTCACTCTGTAGTCATTTCTCCCTAATTTCAAGCCTATAAGCAAAGTAATAGGGATTGACTTAATGGTGGTGGCTATTTAGGAATGGTTGCTGTCCCTGAAGAGGTTTTCCCTCTCCCTCTTTACTCCATTAGCTTGTCCTGTTACAGCATGGATCCTGTGCCATAAAAATGGGAGGTAGTGCACAGCTCCCTGGTTCATGGTAGACTTCAATGCCTTTAAACTGCATCTTTCTACATTGCACAAAAAGAATGTAGAAGAATGGGAATAGTTATTTGTGGGGTCCACAGCAGTTGGCAGTAACTCAGAGTTGTATAAAGCATATATTGTAATTAGCAGAGAGCCGAGAAGGAAAGTAGGGTAAAAGAAAGGGCCCAGGAGCTCTGGGTATCCTTCCCAAATCTTTCAGTGAGTC